TGGAACCCAACAGAATGGGAAGCGGCGAGTGTGACGTCAGTGCAAGGGTGACATAGAGGAGATCGTGTGAAGAGGAGTTGAAAGAGTATGGACTAACATGGATGCAGGTGAAAAGTACAGCAGAAGGAAGACAGAAGCAAGTGGAGACGTGCAGTTGAAGCCTTATGTTCCACTAGGAACCCAAGGGAGCAATAATAATGATAACCACCAACATCCTAAAAATCAATAATCTCAAGACTCCAGTAAAGGGTATTCACTGAAGCATCGTTGAAAGTAGTGTCTTTCAGTCCTGCCATTGCTGTTCCATAATCTAACGGACAACATCCCAACAGCTGACCAACTCAGTGTGTACTTATGTATTTGATATGATTATGAGCAATAAATTCTGCTTGAAACGTCATCAGTCAGTAATACTGTAGACAACAATTTATGTCAATGTTTATGTCCTAAATCGGGGTCGTGGAAAGAAAACAATAACAAAGCCTAACCTTGAAGAACTCAACGACCAATCACAGCAGACTTAGCGTGGGCGGATACAATTCGCAGATATGTATCAACAGACTGTCTAATAAACGGCAAAAAAGAGATGACAGAGAAACCTTCAGCAGGAAAACAACTAATCAGAAGACGTTGCTTCTCTGCTAACAATAAGGAATAATAATGTACATAGAAATCTATAAATATCTGTTGATTTTCTCAATAAACGATCTGTTGCGTGGCCATTTGGCTTCTGTCGTTACAACCCTACATACCTGTTACTTTATCTAATAGTTATCCTACCTACCCCTGTGAAGGTAGTTGTGTCAATGGTTTCACGTGGATTTTGCTCAAAAGGGTACAAGAACACTATCCTGTATGACTACGAAAAAGTGTATTCGAAACTATAAGCAATGCAGCATTTGAAAACCTAGTCAACATTGCTCACTTTATTTCGACAACCGCTTCCATTGAAGTTATCTATAGGGTGAAAAAACAACCTACCTAAACAACTACGTGTTCGATTCATCTATATTGCTGAAGCTTTGGCTGTCTGATTGACTGGTTTCAGCATAGAATTTTGCAAAGTGCGATGTATTTCCTAGGCATTCGCTTCACTGTCAAACATTACCATAGTAACTCTCGGTCGACAGAATTGATTGTAACAACTGTTGAACTCCGCGGTAAGTATGCCTACGTTCCAGAATCTGTTGGCGGGTGTAAATATGACCAATACACCCTCTTTCTGGTCTTAAGCCTGTCTGGTTCTACGCATGATTCCTGAACATAGAAGTTTAGGTACCATATTAGTCAAGCTAACTTCTCCATGATTATCACAGGAAGACCTGTCGCCCTTCTTGTGTATCGGGATAATCAATGACTTACACCAGTCTAATGCAACTTTCTCTGATTCCTAGTTATTGGCTAGTACCTTAATTAACCTAGAGAGTAATTTATTACCACCGTCCTTAAACACTTCTGGAGTCATTCTACCAAGCCCTTCTGCGTAACCATATTTCAGATTAGAGATAGTCTTTGTAAGCTCAGTTACACATGGAGAACCAACGACTTCATCCTATCCAAATAAGTTTGCATTCAGGGTAAGTTGAGCGTCGTTCACTTCAACGCTCCAGTCGTCTATCCTGAGAGCTATTTAGGGGGTCTCGTCTTTCTCAGAGATCGTTTCACTTATCATTTGCCTTTTGCCATATGTTCCTTTGATAAGTCTAAATAGTTGCCTAGTGTTACCTATCGCCAATATCTTTTCCACCTCTTTCGTTTTTTTCACTCACCAGTGTTCTTGGCCGTTGAGATGACATTTTGTCAGTTTGCGTTTGAGCGGCTTTCACTCTTTGACATATTCGGCGTTCGGCAGAACCATTCTTCTTGTATCTATCAGTTTGGATAAGGTAGCGGACATCCACTGGCTTTTACGAACTTTTGGTTTTAGGTTATTAACAGCCTTTAGTGTTGACTGGATATTGTGCCAGGCTTCCTCAGAAGAAGCTTTGCTGTCGCTTTCGCCATCAAGATAGAAAAGCCACAGCTTGTCTAAACAATCCTTACTTTCTTGATCCTAATCCGTCTACGTTAAATTATAACTGCTCCCATTTCTGTCTTGGCTACATTCATTCATCGTTTCGTTTATTGAATTTGGGCAGGCTTCCTCTGCTTTATGTAGATTGTTTTTATTAATTTTAGTTACAGGATTTCATCATGAGCAGACATCACCTGGGGATCAATTAGGAAACCAGCACTCGAATACTTGACAGCTGCTTCGTCCTAGTTCAGGACTCTTCATCAGTACGCACCCCACGTAGGTCATTAATGGTCTACGAGCTTGCCTTGTAACCAAAAGGTCCTGAGTTTGAAACCCGTTGGTAGGTGCGCACTGATGAAGAGTCCCGAACTAGGCTGACGAAACAGCTGTCCAGTACTCGAGTGCTGGTTTTCCAATGGTTCCCCAGATGATGTCTGCTCATAATGAGATCCTGTAACCAACCAATCAAATCCCTACAAACTAATACTTGAAAATTATTAATTTTACTTTGAACAATGTGCGGTTTGATCTCATTTGTCGTCTTAACTTACTTATAACTTAATAGAATTTTCTTCTAATGTTATCCTATCATAATTATCACCTTGTTGCATAATGCTCTAATGGCCTACTAATCTTATTATAATTCTACATCACCCATTCTAAGATTTATACATTTCATTTATGGCATCTGCTACTGATAAGACTTATCAGTAGTATAAATAGACGCAGATTGATAAGAAGTAGACATAATTGAAAAGAACACATTTTAAATCATTGGCTACATAAGTAGGAGGAAGCATTTATTTATCAAATCCGGATTTAGCTTACGTTGTGGTCAGTCAGAAGATAATCTCAAGGTTTAATCTTCAAAAAATCAGCAACCAATGAAAACAGTTTTAACCTTCAGATAATCAAACTACCAATCAGAACGATTTATTATCTGCTAACGTAGCCAATCATAAGTGCACATAAAAATGTATAAAAATGGGCTGATTTTCCGAATTGAGAAAAGTTCGTTACCAAGTCTTTTGTCTTTTCCAGGTACACATGAACTACTTGATAAATTACATAATCTATTTTGTCGCTAAAAGTACAGCAATAATTGCAATCGTAAGCATTTTGTGGCAATTTGATAGCTTCATAATAAATTTGTTCATGAGTCTGTTCTCTGAAGCAACCCACCTGTTTTCGTCTTCTACATATCGGAATAAAAATCTTTCACGAACGTCTACTTCTAAACGAAAATCAATTATCCTTCCACTGCTTGACCCTTTTATCGGTGTATATGCCTGTCATACAAAACAGTCAGGTTCATTATTGACATAATTTCGCCAGATTTTTTAAAAGTATAAACCGTTTTTTATCTATCACTGAAGGTTGTAACTGTCCCAAACAAAACTCTCGTCATGCACGTTGGAGTTCAAAAGTGATAGTGAAATAGAAATTCTTAAAAACCGACCCTTCCAAGTGTCTGAGGACATTTCAAGCACTCATAATTTTACAAATTACATACTTCAGTGGATAGTTAATGTGTTATGGATAAGATTCGGCTTTTGCCACCTCACTGTGCATTTATCAATTTATTTGTTCCTGTGAAGCAAACTCTATATCTGCCGTACATAGCGTCAAGTCCTCAAACATATTTTAGAACGTTGTCCACCTTGACTAACCAGAGAAGGAAAAAAACCAATCAATTCAGGATGACGCTCATTTCGTCCTATTTGGGACTCCTCATCTAGACGTGCCCGCGTTCCTCAGTGAGTAGTGGTGTTTCCACTACGGCTCGAACCGAGACCCCTTAATCAGACATCGTAGGAGCATCGGGCACAAGGATCCGAAATTTCAATCTAAGGTGGAGCACTTCGGTACAACTAATCAACGGGAGAGCCCCTATACTCTCCAAATCACATCATGGGGGGAAGGGATAAATTTAGAGGAGGAGTTCGTTTATCAACGCACAACACTTTTGAACTTCTGTCAATCGATGAGACAGCAACAACATCGGAAAACATCTGTTCATACAATTATACAAAGTACCAGAACTTCAAGAAAATTAGCTATTGAATAGATACGTAAATGAATGTATCGAATTTAAAAATTTTATGAGGTGAAGGACTATGTATCACATTTTAATTAGCATCATTATCTAGTATCACACAGACTAGAAGACTTGCAGCAGGCAGGCAAAACGAATCAGGATGTTATAGCCAGTTAGGACTGGGGAAGGCAAGGTTCACCTTCATCTTTGTGAAATCAGTTTGTAAATAAATCTTCTGCACTCCGCCTCAGCGCCTAAACAACAAGATTCGGATTTGGCAACACAAATATTGATTTTTGTTTGATCGGTTGCAGGATTTCATCATGAGTTGGCCTCAGTTAGACAACTATTGGAAAACTTGGGAGTACTAAGAAGAAACAGCTGTCCACAGTTCTTCTAAGGTTTTCCAATGGTTCTCTAACTGATGTCAGCTCATTATGAAATCCTCCAACAAATCTTTAAGTCAATCAGAAAATCGTACTGCGCATCATGAAAAGCACTTCCAACAGGCTAGTGAAGACTTTGATCAACAACAGCTGCCTTTCTCTGGCTCCATACTGAAGATCGAATGGCAGGCGAAAAAGAATCGGTGACAAGAGACTCTGGCTGGGAACAAACCAACAGGCGAGAACCGATCGCTCAACAAATATGTGTTGTGAGAGAAAATGGAGATGGATCGAACGCTGAGTCACTGAGGAAACCGCCGAATGACATCACGCGCAATGCGGGCTAACGCTCGAGTGGAATCCCAATGAGAAGCGACGAGTGGGTCGTCAGTGAGAGGGTGTGAGAGAGATGAGAGAGTTTGGGTGATCATGGACCCCCAACTGAAGAGGACGGTAGAGAATAAAACAAAGTAGATATGTCCTGTTGAAGCTCTATGTTCCACTCGGAACCTAAGAGAAAAATAATAGTAACAATACTCTTATTCAAAAGCAACAAATATGCACACTGTTCAATAACAACTCTGACTTTATTCAATGGTCAATTACAGAATACAAAAAAAAATAGGGAATTATATACATTTCACCACTGATTAACAGGCGCACAAGGCACTAGCTTCACTTTAGACAATAAAGAAATCGGTGTGAGAGGTATCACAAATGGCAGTTGCATAGGAGACTTTTCATCAGTATCTGTACAATCCTCCGCTTCCTCCAGCTCCTCCTCATCATCCGCCTCCTTCTCCACGACGTTACCTACAGTAGTATTTGATGAAGAAGAAGAAGAACAGTTGTAGTCTGTTGGTTGAATACAATAACCTAAGCCTAATTCAATTGTACCCGAATCTGACCAACGTCCAGCAGTCAATTGTATATGTGTACGAATTTCAAGATAATTTTGATTTGTTGATGATGTCGATATATCTTCATCTAGTAAATGCCATGAATTCATTGGTGGCCACCAATGATAAAGAATCCCACGTGTATTAGTACTATTCGATTTCATGCCAGAGGAAAATGATGATGGTTCTGGACGTCGAAATATAATACAAACATGTTTCCTGAAGCAATAAAAAGAGAAGAAGAGAAAATACAACAAAGAAAAACAAATAAAAATATCCAAGTGTTGGTTTGTAGGGATTTGGGCAAAGTTAAACTTTAGACACCACTAACAACCAATCAGCAAACGACCTTGAACGGACCAGTTACATTAAAGAGGCATATAAGATGAATGGAAATGTATATTTGTAGAAAAAAGCATAAAATAGAGAATAAAAAAGTTACATGGGATATCTTTCTCGAACATGTGAGAGAAACATCTCCCAGTTTAGCATGGAACTGCCAATGGAGAAGTTACACCATATCCTGTACACCATATTCTGTACATATATTCATCCAAATACCATAAATGAGATCCTTTTGAGATCCATTTATAGCCCTTATCCTATTTTTCAACCTGCCCCAAAATCCTTCAATAGAATTGGCATGTGTCCTCGTAACGGGATCCACAAAATCACTTGAATGGTTGACTCTATGATGAATATATCCCAGATATGACAGTGAATTGTAGCCTTTCCACTCGTCGGTGTGTATAATTGACCCCCGCTTAACAAGTCTGGTAATAATAGGTATAAGAGTAGTTGCTTTTCTATCTGCTATCCTTAGGGAGAGAAGCGACCTAGCGAAAAAAGTTCCTACGATATATTAAAATTATCAGCTTACTCTCTCTAGCGTTAGTAGGCTTCAAACATGTAGCACAACGATGAACAAACCCATCAGTTGATTTGGTATAGCTTTTTAAAGTCGTGATACCACCACACAAACAAATTCGCTATTTCCGGCGCAACTCAAATCCAGGAAATAATGGAAAACGCTAACCTCCTTGAATTGCAACAATAGCTTTGTAAGGTCACGTATTAGAAATGAATCAAGCGCTACAAAACATTGAACTGCATTCGTGAATCTCATTGGATAATTCGTTGATTGGTAGTTAGTGGTGTCGAAAGTTTAACTTCGCCGGGATTTGATTGGTTACAGGAATCCATCATGAGCTGACATTAGTTAGAGAACCATTGGAAAACCAGCACGGAGTACTGGACAACTGTTTCGTCCTAGTTTGGGACTCTTCGTCAGTACGCACCCAACCCACTACCAGGGTTCCAACCCAGGACCTGGTTACAAGGCGAGCTCGTATACCAGTAATCCACTGGGACCCGATCCAATGGACAGCACATGAATTCTAACTTTTGCCAATTCAAGATATAGCGCAACCGCTACTCAATGTCTTCGCCCGACCGAAAGCTGCTACCTTGACGTGGTGGTCGGGCTTGAACACCGCAATGACCTAATCAAGCTATACTGGCTGAGACTTATGTCTCTTGAGGTTCTACCATGCCAGGCAGGTTGTTTGGATAGCGGTTAAACAAAAAGCAGCTACCCAATCCAATATCATGATCCAAACAAATTCACAAAATTTCATGCCGGATCGGCCGTGGCCCGGATTAACAACGACCGCGCTTCCTGCTGCCGTGTCACAGGGCAGGAGTGATAAGTATGCTACTGAGGCACACCAAACAAAAAAGAACGAACAAAAACAGGCCGCGTGTGACCGGCCTCAAGCAGTTGTCCCCTGGGCTCTGCGGTCACGCAACCAACTTCCACGGTGTGGGCAGCCGGGAAGTAACAATCGCCCTCACAATCCAAAACGCACACAAAACCTCTCTAATCCTCACTTATCTTTGTCTTCATCTTCATCTCTATTACCTTACCTTCCCCCCAGTGATGCAACTCCTCTACTTGATGGCTCCTCACTCCCTCTTCACTCTGTGTCCACTAAAAACGACGAAAGCCAAAAAACCACCACGGATAGTCTCCTAAAGCCACGCCACCAATTTCATATAGGAGCATTTAATGTAAGGACACTTTGCCAAATAGGACAACAAGCATCACTAGCTAAGACCCTGGCATCTCGAGCCATTGATGTATGTTGTGTTTCAGAAACACGCATACAAGACCCAAGTGTGGTTATTCACCTAACCCCACCTGGCCAACAGGATGAATCTTCAAAATTCACCTTGAGGGTGTCAGGAGATGCCACAGCTAGTTCACGGGGATTAGCTGGCGTAGGGATAGCTCTGAGTACTAGGGCAGAAAAGACATTGCTTGACTGGATCCCAGTAGATAGCCGAATGTGTGCTGTCCGTCTGAACGGATCAGTAAGAAGGAGAAAGGACTGCACTACTCGCCGATGCCTTTTCGTAATCTCCGCCTACGCCCCCACTGACTGCAGTTCGGATGAAACGAAGGATGAGTTCTACCAAAAGCTGTCTAGTTTGGTGAGAAAGGCTAAACGCTCAGATATAGTCGTTCTAGCTGGTGACTTCAACGCTCAAGTAGGGAAATTGTGTCAATCTGAGAAGGATGTCGGTGGCACCTATGGAGTTCCGTGCCAGCGAACCGACAACGGTGACCGTCTCCTACAGTTCTGTTCAGATAATCATTTGTTTCTTGTAAGCACTAACTTTAAACACAAGGAGAGACACTGTTTAACCTGGCGACCCCCATCATCAAACCAACGCTGGACACAAATAGACCACATAGCAATAAGCTATCGTTGGCGTGGGTCGGTAGGAGATTGTCGCTCCTTCTGGAACACGTGTGTAGATACCGATCACGCACTGGTCCGGGCTCGTGTGTGCTTACGACTGAACGGACGTAGGAAACAGCTGGCGGTAAAACCATTACGCCCCCAGCTCGATCAGGAAACTAAATCCCTATTTGAGGAAGAACTAGCTAAACGCATATCTGAATCCGACAGCTGTGCTCACCCTGGAGAAGCCTGGAAGAATATTCAGTCAGCTATAGATACAGCTGTAAAAGCTGTGAATAAGACAAATCCAAAGGTGAGTAAAAACCACTGGATTTCGACTGCCTCATCCGAACTGATAGATGCTAGAAGACTTATTCCGGCGAGCTCCGAATTCAATGAGGAGCGAAAGCTGCACAAAAGGAAACTTACTAAAAGTCTCCGCAAGGACCGTGAACAGTGGTGGGTGACAAAGGCGAAAGAGATGGAAAAAGCATTGGCGATAGGCAACACTAGGCAACTCTTTAGACTCATCACAGAATCGGGCGGGAAAAGGCAATTCATAAGTGAGACTATTTCTGAGAAAAATGGCTCCTTAATTAGCTCTCAGGATAGACGCCTTGAACGCTGGAAAGAACACTTTGAGGAACAATTTAACTTGCCTACAGCCACACTGAACCTCCCCGCCATCCACCACGTACCCGAATGGGATATAGACACTGGTCCGCCGTCTGTAGGTGAGGTTACAAAAGCTATCAGTAATTTGAAACGAGGCAAAGCGGCAGGACCCGACGGAATTATTCCGGAGGTGTTTAAATATGGGGGTGACATACTAGTTTGTAGATTAACTGAGGTACTAGGCAAAGTCTGGGAATCAGAGACAGTACCATCAGACTGGGGTAAGTCACTCATTATACCGATATTCAAGAAGGGAAACAAGTCCTCGTGTGATAATCATAGGGGGATCAGCCTAACGAACATAGTCTCTAAAATCCTAGGCTCAGTAATCATGCATAGACTAAGCAGAACTCGGGAGGAACAGACAAGGGAAAATCAAGCAGGCTTTAGACCAGGTAGAGGGTGCATAGATCATATCTTCACTCTTCGACAGATTCTAGAACATAGACACACTTTTCGGCGTCCAACAATTGTCATATTTCTTGACTTGAAGGCGGCCTTCGACTCCGTGGACCGAAAAGTACTATGGCAATGTCTGACTGTGAAGGGAGTGCCAAGAAAGTACATTGCACTAATCAAGGCACTCTATTCAAACTCACGTAGTCGTGTAAGGGCTTATGGGGAATTGTCATCTGAATTAGTAACAACCAGTGGTGTCCGACAGGGATGTCCACTTTCCCCATTTCTGTTTAACTTCATCATAGATATGCTAATGGAAGTATCCTTAACTGAACGTAGTGACTTAGGAATCGACTTGTTACCAGGGAATAATCTAATGGACTTAGAATATGCAGATGACATAGTCCTGTTAGGGGAGGATGCTGACAAAATGCAGAGTCTTCTGAACACCTTGAGCAGCAATCTTCGTATGTTTGGCATGCGATTCGCCCCTGCAAAATGTAAGATGCTGCTACAGGACTGGACGACGTCAACCCCTAACTTAGTGATAGGGAGTGAAGTGATAGAACATGTTGACCACTTCACCTACTTGGGAAGTTGTATTAGCACCAACGGACTGATTGGCGATGAAATCTCAGCACGGATCCGAAAAGCTCGAGCTGCTTTCGCTGACTTACACCATCTCTGGCGTAGGCGTGACATCCGGTTATCAACCAAGGGACGTGTGTACTGCTCATCAGTTCGCTCCGTCCTTCTCTATGGCTCTGAAACATGGCCAATACGCGTTGAAGACATGAAAAGGTTGACTGCTTTCGATCATAGATGTCTGCGATCTCTGTCTCACGTTAGGTGGTTTCACAAGGTAAGTAATGTTGACGTTAGGCGTAGAGTGTTGGGCAAAGAGGGAAAATCAATCGACGAGGCTATAAAGTTACATAGACTAAGATGGCTAGGTCACGTGCTGCGCATGCCTAACCACCGCCTCCCCCGACGGGCATTGCTAGCTGATATAGGTTCAGGTTGGAAAAGAGCCAGTGGTGGCCAAACAAAAACATGGCATCAATCCATGAAATCCTTGACAGTTAAACTGAGTCAGGTAGGGAGATGCAGACTCCCGGGTTGGGGCCCTCGGGACTCTAGGAATCAATGGCTGGAGACAATAGGTGACATGGCTCAAAATCGTTGTCAATGGCGCAGATGTATTCAATCTCTGTAATCTTTCATATTCCTTTCTACCATTACCCATTCTGTTTCACTCTTATATTTGTCAAACTCTATTAATTCTCTTCACTCATCTTCTTGTCTACCTCTGTGTGCTATTTGGAACGTGGCAACTCGAACTGCTGCACTTCGGTGCCAAGTTCTATGTTGAATCCAGACAGACAGACAATGTCTTCG